AGCGGGCCTGACCTAAGGTGAGTTTTAAATAGGGACAATTTTTAAACAATTTTAAAGAGCCACAGCTACTAATATTTGGATTTTAATTGGTTTTTAGCAGGGGAAAATTTCTTTTTGTACAATGTTTTAATATGCTGTGAGCCGCCCTGAGTCCCATGGGGAGAAGGGCGGCATATAAATTTAAGAAAATAAAATAAATTTAAGAAAATAAATAAATCACTAGGCCCTGGCATGTTTCCTCAGAGCCACATTATAGTCACTAGCCCAATTCCTCTTTTCCAAAATAAAAATAACCAAACCATTACTAGGATGTGGCAGTCTTGTATCCTTATTGCTATCTATAGTCCTGTTGTCTTTAGAAAAACACAGTCATAAATAATCAGCTTGCCAGCTTAGCATGGCACTGAATAATGGGCATGCCATCACAGGATATGACATATTCTAAATGAGCTGTGTAACTTCATCAGTGCCTAGAATGGCTAATGTTCCACATTTGTTACTTTCTGGAGCATCTCCTTGGTGTGAGGGCCATTATAGAAGGCAAAGATGCCTACACACAAATGCTCACACACAGTCCAGCTGTCAACATGTACTTTTTCTATTATTATTCTCTAAGCCAGGGATGGGTGTTCTTCGGGGATTGTGTGTGTGTGTGTGTGTGTGTAAAGAGAGAGAGAGAGAGAGAGACAGACAGACAGACAGACAGATAGATAATGGATGGATGAATAAAAATACCAAATCCAATCTGAACATCTGGCTGATTGTGCAACCCACCATAATATATTTTTAAGAATGTTTACATAAGTAAAAGCAAATATAAAGAAAAATATGAAGAAAAAGGAGAAAGAAATAAAGAGAAAGAAAAATAAGTGCAAAAGCAAAGCAGAATAAGAAAGAAATTAGTTAAAGAAACAAGAAAAAAACATGCTACTTCTGACCTTCAACTTCAATAGTTATAAACATACTCATTATTCCTTCTCCCTCTTGGTATTACAAAAATCTCCTCAGCTAGCTCTGATATCGTTACAATCCATTCCTCCATTCAAAGAAGTTCAGTATTCCTTCAAAAAAGCTCACTTTAATTAAATCAAACAAACAACAAAAATCCTAAAATTCACCATTTAGAGCAAAGTGGCAAGCAATGGCTCATAAGGGCAAGGATTTACCAAAAATTCAGAATCAGGATGCTTCTGAGAATTTTGGGTTGGTACCAGAACCAAGCTCACTAGTCCTTTTACACTATCATCCATTTTTTTTGTTTTCCCTAAGCAATCCAATTTAGGGTGGGGAAAAGATGTTAATTTTGCAAAGTACATTGCAATAAACTCTTAAGGAGATGATATGCTATCTTTATCATCAAGACAATTCTTAATAACATCTGTGACAGCTTATGAACCCAAGAGGAGACGGAAGAACGTAAGGAGGACCTTGATGGGTCAGGCCATTGA